GAAAACAATTGGGAAATGGATAAATTTAAAGAGCAATCGATGCCCAGCTATCAACATTACTCTGATCTCAATCACGTTCACCAGTTGAGTCAGGTGGTACCACCGTATCAAGAAACTTCTATTACTGAAGACGGTAAATATTATCTCATTATGAATATTTTATTTAAGTCGAATCACATTTTTTTTACGGTATAATTATCTAATAATAATTTTGCGACATAAAACTATATTTTAAGCATTATATGTCGTTGTTTTGTCTATTCTTTTTGCTTCTCATTGAATCAAATTAATTGTAGTATATGATAAGAAAAAATAAATTATAGCATAGTTGCTATATCGCTGCTCTTTCCCAAGTAGTCATATTTTTTTCATATTATGCAGTACTAATGTAATTTGTGATAAACAAATATTGTCAGAAGCGAGATTTTTAGATAGATACAAATAAACAATATAAACATTAATTTAGAAATAATTGCTGAAATATAATGTTTTACTACATTCATTTATTTCTTAAATATTTTGTTGTTCGGAGAATTTTGATTTTATTAGTAAAAATTATTCAGTAATAAGTTCACTAATAAAATAATATTTATATAACTTATAATACATTATTTTCAGGTAATATTGTTACATCCAGCAAAACAGAACTGCGCAAAAATCAATCTGGTAAAAGAACGAAACGGAAGCCAAGAGTGTTGTTCTCACAAGTAGGTTAAATATTCTTAAATTAAATATTCTTTATATTAATAATAATTGATAAATGACTATTGAAATATTCTACTCAAGCGGATTGTGACTTATAATAAAAGTTTTATAAAAATTTGCAGAGAAAGAGGATTAATCTTATAAGTATAATAAATTTAAAATTTTACTTTTAAATAAAATTACTTAAAAATAATTACTTAAAATTAATTAAAATTTTAAAGATATCTTGCACATAAAAAGAATTAAAAGACGCAAAACGTTAAATTATAAATAACAATCCGTTTTACAGACACAAGTTTATGAACTAGAACAACGATTTAAGCAACAAAGATATCTGAGTGCACCTGAGAGGGAAATGCTAGCCCAAACCTTGAAATTAACTAGTACGCAAGTGAAAATTTGGTTCCAAAATCGACGATACAAGAACAAACGCGCCCGAATCGAGGACGCCGAGAAACTACAGGCGCAGAACATGAAGAATCAATCACTCAAAAAGATTGCTGTGCCAATTCTTATCAAGGATGGCAAACCTAACGTACAGGAATCTTACAACGGCCCTTACTGGCCGAATATCCGATCGGATTTAGGCGTTTCGATGCAGACAGATTTCAGGACGAACGAGATTCGTCTCAGTCCCGACTTTAGGTCCAACTCAAACGATGTGAGAATTGACTCCAGTATTAGCCCGGAATATAAATCGGAGGTCAGCTCAGAAATGCCTGGAAGATCAAGTCTGAATAATATGGCGGACAGACAGCACGTATCAGAATACAGGAACAATTTTGTGACGGAAGCTTCACCGAGTGTGAACGATTGTAATCGATTAATCAAGACGCAATTTAAAACATGCGCGAACGCGAATGAAACTGCATCGTATGATCTGAAAAATGTTCAATCCGACAATAAACAGCTTGTGACTGACAAGCGGATGCCTATGGACGTTTCCAGTGGCGAATATGGATTTTCAAATTACATTGCTCCGCCTAATTACCAAATGCAGTACGTAAATTATATGGAACAAATACCTATGGATCAAAATCTGCAGCGATTATGGTAGGTGCATCTTTATGAGAAAAATCCGATGTGAGAATTATGAATATGTGCGATTGATTGCTGTAAACTTCTGCTTTTGAATTTTTAGTGATTCAGGAGATTAGATTTAATAATTAATTAAGTCGTTACTTGAATTCTTCTGAATTATACTAAATTATGCGCTGTTGACATTTTACATTTGCTGATGAATATTTAGATTTTATTATCATCTATTATCTATCATGTGTGAATCCAATTACATTAATATTAATTATGAATTAATTAAAAATTGGTGTGATGATCATTGATAAGAATCAATCATGATAATGTATTTTTATATTAGAAATGATTATTTTATACATGCCACATAATAAAAATAGGAGACATTTATTATTCTCATTTTTCATATATTTTTATTATAAATTTAAAAAAAAACTTTATTTTATTTTAAATTGAATCAAATTGTCTCGGAAAAAATTACGAAAAAAATATTTATGAAAAAAGAAAACAATATACCAAAGTAATTAACCAAAGATGTATTTTTTAATTTTATTATGGACACGTAAGTAAATAAAGTTAAGTCTTAAATATGCTAACCAAAGAATAAGTTTATGATATTGGCAGCTGTTTTTTAGTCGGCTAAGATTTTTTTCTTCGAAATAGTAACGCGCCGTATAAGAGGCGGAAATTGCTTCAAGTGGTCTTTGCGGAAACATCGAGCACTTTTCCGCGGATGTTACATGCCTCGGAAAGTTTTTTTTTCTCTCTAACTTTCAAGTGCAGACGCTAGTTGTGCAATAAATTAATTTTATTCACGTGATCTGTCACGTACTCTGCTTAATAAGAACGGAAGTGTATGTATATTGTAAACAGTTATGAGGAATGTTCAATTTTCTATTAAATATATAATGTGCATAAATATAAGAAGAGCGTTGTGTTTCTCCTATATATCTTCTATATACATATTTAGAATTATTTTAACTTGCCGCAAAAATAAGAATTTATGTTTACAACGTATGAATTTTGCGATAGAATAATTAATTCTTTCATAATTATAATTTACATGGATCTTAATAGGAAGCAAGATTTAAAATCATGTATTTAATGATAAATAAAATTCTCGGTCTACCACAAAATTGAACCCAAATTTTATAGATAAGCATAAATTTTTCATAATTAGGCTATACTTTTAGCGTAGCACTGATGTTAAATAAGAATTAAATTATATGATAAAGTGCATAATTGAAATTGTATGAGAAAATTGTAATTTTTAAATAAGTAACAATTCGTGCAAGAAATCGAATACGTATTTCTTGTATTGCGTATTTTTTCTATCCATGACATGCATCTTCATGAATGCTCTGTGTATTTTCAATCGATATCGATTTCCATCGAATCAAATCCAATCCACATGCCTCTTGGAAGTTCGCGGTCCGATACAGAAATATGGCGAAATGGCATTTATAAATAGGTGAGTTCTGACAGCTTGAGCGAAACCATGGGCGCCTTTTAGGTTATCGCGCGAACGATGGGTCATCTGGCAGTCAAGTGCTGCCTACATAGACGATTTACATCAGTGTAATCGTGTTCATGGTGCTACTGGTGCCATAAAGGGCCATGGGAACAAGCTGATAAAAATGTCACTATTAATTTTATAAGGCTTATGTGGTCAGATCGTATCTGAAGGAAGAGCAACTTGTTTTCATTCTAGACGTGCACCTGATTGCACCTGCAAGAAATTTCAATAATTGACAGGATAAATCGATCAATACTCGAATCATTGCTATATATCATTTATATGAAAAAAATAAAAAATTTATATATGTACATAAATAGTATGAAAGAGATGATTTCGATAAAACTTCGCTAAAAATGCTAATATAGAAATGAATAAATTTGTTAATGAGTTACATAACTTTTATGTTATAGTTAGAATTGGAATGTTATTAATTTTCATTGATTAAATTAAGTCCTTTCAGGATCGATTGCGTTTTTCACACTTAAAACGCACGTCGATGCATCACTCCACATGCACCATATAGTTGTGTCCTCTAATCATTATAGTTCCATTACGATATGATGTATTCAGATAATCAATCATGAAACGCTCAACATAGAAATACGATCCTATTTGCTTGTAAGCCAAAGGGGAACGAACGTTTGCGCGAGGTACCAAGAGAGGAAGAACGAGACGCTGTGCAAATAGACGATCATATGCATAAAACGGCCAATGTCTACAAATCAAATAATTTTAGTTAAAGATGAGAATCTTTTTTGCATGTATATGTGTGTGTAGAGATCATTAATCATCCTTCGGACAGATATTTTACAACGATATGAATCGCATAGATTTCTGTTGCATTTTATATTACCAAGACTTACAAATAATAAAAAAGCAGAATGAAAAAATTAATATGAATATTCATAGTCGAATTATGCATTGCTTGCATTTTTAACATTGCGCCTTATCGATTGCTGAATATTCAGATTGAAGAATGTCGTGATGCATTTACCTGGAAAAGACAGAATATATTATTTATATGTATTATTTTATATTATTATTTCCTTAATTTTATTAAAACTGCTGATTATGCTAAAATGTTTTTGTTAAAGTCACTTAAAATATAATACAGAAATGATATTTTGAAAATGCATACACTTTACACATTTTTATTTTAATAATAATTTCTATACATAGAAAAAGATTAAATAACTATTCTAAAGAGTAATATAAAATATTTTTCTCTGTACAAAATTATTATATTTAAAGAAGAAATATTTACATTAAATCGAAAAGTCTACTTTATCAACGTGCGTCAAACTATAACCGTGTGTTGCTTGCATCAATGTGTTGAGAGAACAAGGGATGTGAAACTGCTTCTCTCTCAGGGAAACTTAAATCTAAATATCTAACTTACCAGCATGTGAAAAAGTCATTTAGTTAATGCTTTTTGCTACTGACATGTCCTGCACTCTATACTCTGATATAGAAGAAACTTTTTTTTAAAGTTTTTTTTTTTTTATGTATATAAAAATGTGTTCTCTCTCATTTTTATATCATCAATAATAAGATTTTCATTTCATCAATTTTGTACTTAATGTAATGATTTTACCATTATTTTATTATGCATCATTTTAAAAATAGTATAAGAGAAAGAGATTTGTTAAAATTTACTAACTTTACTAACTTTCCATCATTTGTATTATATTTACGAGATTAAACATATAAACATATAATATATAAGTAAAATTTTTGATTTCAGAATACGAAGAAGCTCGAAGTATTGTCGAACATATGCTGGTGAAGCTATTGACGTCTATCCTCGTAGTTCGTAAGTATAAGAAATATTCGAAAGAATTTCTTTGAGTCGTGGCGGCTGCATGAAACACCGCTGATTGGCCGCTCGTACGCCAATTTTCCTCGACGGCGCTTCGCCACGAAAAATCGCTAAATTGCTTCTTTGAAATGCCGGAAAAGCGGAGGAAACGGTTTCCTCCGTAGTTCGCTCGACAAGTTCTTCTTGGTAGACTTCAGGCGTCGTTACCCGTTTGATGATCCGCGATGTACTCGGGCTGATTTTCTCCCTTCGTAAATTCAAAGCAGAGCAGGTATTAATTTCGGAAAGAAGAAATATTTTCGCACGTGTGAGAATAAGTAAAACTGCGTAACGTTTATAAAGTGAAAAATTTGCATTAGAAATCTTATCTTTCGATATAATAGATATTCAAGCTTGAATAATTATCTTTCACATTAAAATTTCTATTTTATATCAGTGAAAAAAATATTTTTATATTTTACAAAGCATTTGATAAAAAGCAAGGATTAATTTAAAATTTTTATAAGTTTTTAATTTTCTTTATGATTATAAAATACACTCAAAATTTTTTAATAATTTTATAATAAGCATTAGTTTTACATTAGTAAAAAAATTATGTTATCTCTTATTTATGTGACTAGCACAACACAACGCGCACTTCGCGCGCGCCATTTATTCTTTTTCATTAAACATTTTTAACGATATATACACAAAATAACTGTCAAAATATGCAATGATAGCCGCTTACGAAGTAAGCGCAATGACAGAACCAATCAGCATCGCGGAAAAGAGGCAACAATATACTTCGAGATTTTCGAGTATCGACTTAACATGCCTTTTTTACGGAGAGATAGTTTAATTAAGACAATTGCTCATCGAAAAATATAATTATCTAGATAAATATATTTATCTAGATCTAGAATAACACACACACACGCACACATACATACATGAGGAGATGAAATAACACATAGAAGATTTAAATATTTGAAAATTCATGTTATACTTACAAATTTTACTCGTCGCTGACGCAGCATTTCGAATGTTTTCGGCGAAATGGAGAGGTGTCCCCTTTAACGTTTTCAATAGTCCATGTGACACGCCGGCTTCTAGGTTTCCTTGGCAACCATCCCAATTGAAACGCGTGTCACAGAAATCGGAAGAATGGTATATAAGAGAGATGGGAAAAAGTGACGACAAAGACGAAAGTAACTGAAATCTCAAACTTGGAACCGGCAATTCCGTTTATATTACTTTTGGAGGGGATGATGAAATCAGATTCGTGCGTTTGTTTTACTCATGAAAATAAAGAGGGAGGACTTGTTACATTTTTTCTATTGCTTTAACATTGTAATAATTGATGCATACTGACTGCATATTTCGAATCTTTTTGACAGTTTGACTTACAATTAGAAAGAGATTTTTAACATAAACTATAAAATATTACTTGCTTCATGTAGAAAAACGTTTTAATTATACTTTTAAATTTACTCGCTTGCTTTACATTTATTGTAAAAGATACTGTAGACGCTCGAAAAAATCAGGATTTTTTTACCCTGCAAGCAAATGGCTCGTGCAAAATTGATAATGGCCACTATGCAGCCTCGAGCAGCTGAATTGTCCTCTGTACAATTTTTTACATGAAATTCAAATTGATCCCGCTTCAATAATCTTTTTGCGGTAAATATGATTCTCGGTATACTTGTCTGCGAATTCATTAAACCACGAAAGATATTTAATCAAAAATATATCAAAAGTATTATATCAAATATATTTTTATTTTTTCTAAAAAGCTGGATTTTTATCTTTTAATTATAATAATTACTGGAATAAATTCTTTAAATATAGAAAATTAAAAATTACTATTTTTCTTGGATATTAACAAATATGTGAAGAAATTTATTTACGAAAAATAATAAGAATACTGATAATATAAATTTAATGTTTTGTAATTCTATGATATTATATATTTATAATAGAGTACAATACTTATAATATTATTATTTATTAAATATAAAATTTTAATGATATTTTACTTATAAAAATTTGTATATATGCAAGTATATATAAAATATCTAAGAAAGAGATTTTATTATTTAATAACATTTGTTTATAGTGATGCACAAAAAAAATCGCAAATCTTTATCTTATGCTAAAATAATTTATCTAGAATATTATATTTGCATAATAGATTTTAAGTTAATTTTGCCAGTTTATCTTTCATTTATTTAATGCGCAAAGCTTTCTACTAACAAACGATAGAGATGCGTTTGTAGAGAAACGGTATAACGAGGGGTAAGGCGTAGAACCCGTACTGGATGATCAAGGGAGAGGGTGGTCTTGCTCTATTAACAGCTAATGAAAATTAGCTTTCGTCGGTTGATTGAGCGTTAAATCGTTCCTTTCTCGTTTTACGAGACAAGTCCGTCAGTGGTGCACTCGAACTAACGTACTCCCGCTTCAAATTGCGAGCTTGTTACAGCCGATAGCAAATTCCTGAGTCGAGGATTGAAAATGGTTTGTTACATTCGTATATTTTTAACTTGGAGGCATCGACACTTTTTTAGAAAAATTTTATCAACAAAACGTTGTCAATTAATATAATAATGTTATTTCAATAATGATACAATCTGGAATTTTCTGGAATAAAAGACAGAAATATTCTAGAATTAGAAATTTTAACATTATGTTGACTGATTAATAGACCTATTTAATTAAGCGTATTAGTTTTATATTTATAACAATCACGTCATAAGATAAACAGACTCGTAATATTATTGCAGCAATTTTTATTTATTTATTTGTATCGCAAGGTTATTTATATCGCAGGTTGATGCGATACAAATTTCGATTACAGTAATTAATACGACGGCTTCTATCCGTAATCTATGTTGGTAGTTCAAATGTGCGCAATAGAAAACCCGTGGTGCTGCAGACTTTATAGTCGCTTCTGCAGTCCATTATTGCTTCGTTTATAACAGTTCTAAACATTGTAAAGTCATAATGCTCTCTCGTGCTAAACGAGGCCTTGTGTCGATGTACAATCGCTATTAGTGCCGAAACTCGTAATAATTTGCGGCTTGCGTCACGAAAATTATACTGACCACTATAGTTTGTTGATACTCAGAAACGCCAAAAATACGAATTACGAAATAGGGATAGGTGATTTTTTATCTGAGAATTTTCGTTTATTTTTATGTGTACAAAATGTACTATTTACTTAATATTTTTTTTTAACTTTTTATAAACTATTTAATCAGATATTTAGAACATTTAAAAATGTATTATTTAGATATATTATGTTTCTTCTCGTTTCTTTGAATAATTTATATCGTAAATAATTGTCGTAAAAAGAATAGTATATTACAATAGCTTGTGAAATATTCTATATATAACTCCCATGAGAAATAATGCTGTATATGTATGCATGCAATTAAAACTTAAGAAGTCTAAACAAATAAATTAAAAACTACTAATTCTCTTCTTAACAACTCGAAGACCGCCTCATAAGGATTTATACGGCGGAATGTAAAAGGCGTTTCGGCGAGGGGAATGTAACATTTTTGTTTACAACAGATGAGTGTCAGATCTAGATTTTTTCTCGTCCGTCGGTTAAGCTTGCTCGTCTCCGCGTCTGAATAAACATATCTGATGTCTGCTGGGCCCACCCAGATGCAACCATTAAAACCCTTATGAGAAAGTCAGTTGCAATACCGATGAGAAAACTCATTTTTCACCTGCGATGTTGCGCTTTTTCGAAATTGAAAGGAAATAGGAAAAATGTGGAGAGAATATATACACAATATATACTCAATAGATTCTGGATGATATACATATATTTAAAGACATTTACGTGATCATCTGGGTGTACTTAAACAATAAATTGAATTTGAACATAGTACACTCGTGACGCACATTAAACAAATTGCATTAGCATTAGATATTTAATTCATACTTTTTATACATTGCACACAGTCCGCTAGTAATTGCACATGTTTTAGAGGTAATTTGAAGAACACATTTTCCGTTTTCACTTAAGAATCATGCGTCGCAATTTATACGTCTGCCAATACTCTCCCAATTTGTGTAAAAAGCACTAGATGTCATTTGGCATGTTACAATATAATAGTTGCATACAATATCATCTCTGTTTTCCTTCGAGATATGAAACTTTAAAGTTAAAGAACATACATAAGAGTCAATAAAAAAACATTAAATTAGTAGATTGTGAAAACTTTATTTTTTAGTTTTTCCATTTTTTTTAAGTTTAAAGTTTAATATCCCAGATAATAGAGGAAATAGAGGAGACTCAATATCAATATTTCGTATTTTATACATTTATTTACAGGCTAATTTACATCACTTTTATATCGTCATTGAATTACAATAAATATATGATAATTTCAGACAGCTCGATTAGATGAGTAGTAAATCCAATTATTATGCATATTATTATGATTCTAACAAACAGACTTTTTGTATGAAGTGCTCATATATTGAAATACAATCGAAAGGCTTAACAGTAACGTGTTAAGAGAGCGTATTTTATAGATAAGCTACTGAAAAATATCATAACTTGTTAGTAACATTTAGTATAGGTGTAGTCGTATTTTGAACATATCCTTTGATATGATATTATAAAAAAGATGCAAGATACACTTTTTCGTGAAGAGCCTCATAATTTAAAAAATAAATATTTAAAAATTTCATTGATGATTTGATTTGATTGACTGATGTATCGGTGGTTCTTGATTGAATTTTTAACATTAATAAACTGGATTTGTGGACATGAGATGTTAATGTTACAAAATATTTTATTTTTTCTTTTTTTTTTTAGAATCATTAAATCTATTTTTTTTATTTCAAGAAAAATATGCCATTACATGTAAAGTATAATGCATGAACCATATAAAAGATGACTCTATCGTGTTTTTTTCTCTTGCAAATATATGACAAATCTGGATATCAGCTATAAATTATATCTTTATATTAAATGAACAATTTGTTAAATAATTATACATTCTTTTCGCCGGAATAAATTTGACATTGAAATTCATTTGCGCTGTAGATCAGTTTTGATGATCATGATTTCTGCGTACTTAATTGCGTGATTGAGCATGCTGTTGTTTCAAGTCATTAAACACATTTTTAGACAGTCATAAAGTCACGATATTTCGCGATACTAAGATATCATTATTCTATAAATGATTGTATTTTACATCATGCACAAAAGTGACCATCTTGGTGATATGAAACGATACTCGAAATTTCACGAGCGATCTATCGTTCATTTCTCGTTCTTGATTTTCGAGATTTGATTCGGATCGAAATCAGGCGCGATCGGGCTTTGTACCTGAATGTGGGTGGCGTGCAGGGGCGGACAGAGTAGCGGATGATACGGGAGACAGTAATATGGGAAACCGCTGAGCGCTTTGTTCGCGGGGTGAATTTGCGGGCCCGACATTTGGCCGGGAAGTTGTCCGGAACCACGAAGAGGCAATCCCCTCAAATGCTCGTCCGGATGTACCAGGACGCGTACAGCCACGCGCCTGGCGCTTCCAGAATTAACGAGGGCGCCTAATTCCTCTTGGCGCCGCTTGGTCTTGTATCTGAAGTAAAGTCAACAACAATATTTAATGAAAATCGAAAGAGTAGGAGATTTGTAGTCCGTGTAATATAAAATCGGATTCTCTTTTTCCAAAATTTTTATATCAAATCTGAAATTAATTTCATGTATAAACATAGATATATAAAAAAAAATTATACCGTCGATTTTGAAACCAGATCTTGACTTGCGTCTCCGTCAATTTCAAGCCGCGTGCCAGATCCGCCCTCTCTGGACCCGACAAATATTTTTGAGCGGCAAATCTTCTTTCTAATTCATAGACTTGCGCATGCGAGAATGCTGCTCTGCTGCGCTTTTTTCTATTCTGCAAACTTTGCCCCGAATTTTGCGTTTCGTATGCGTCGTCTTCCACTTCATCTGTAAGATATGGACGAATAAATTTTTATTTTGGAAATAAAATCTCTCAGCTCCTTTTGCATACGGATAAACTTAAATTAATAGAGCCTTATAAAAAATGAAACTTTTATTAAAATTTTTATGATATTCTGATTTCATTAAACATTTCCTAGAATATATTTTAAACTATTATAATATATTAAAAGAAACGAGAAGATTTTTAAGCTTTTGCATATCAAGGAACATGGGACTTTATTTTTCGAATAATGCGAGCTTGCCGAGCTCAAATTCGTTTGCGGATAAATATTTAGATTCACGCGAGAATCTGCAACTATACCGTAAAGCAATCGTTTAGCCCGAAAGTCGGAGTAACCATCATCGAGCGGCCATAGAAACGGCGAACGATCGGAGAAAGAAAGAGAGAGCTTCGTTGCTTTTGATGTCTCGAACAAACATTAACACATGTACTCGCTACTCCGACATGTTTACGTTTCTGTTCCGCGGTAATTCTCCTCTAAGTTTAACCAGTGCCACTAGAGTACAATCATATTGCAGATCACGCTAACTTCTACTTGGCAATGCGCTTGATCCGCTACTTTGCAATATAAATATCTCATAAACAAAAAGTAATATACAATTTTTTAACCAAAAGAATAAAAATATTAAACCGTTGATTACAAAAATATCTCGCATTCTTTATTAACTTTATATAGATTATCGAGATATCTTTCGAGATATATTTGCATGTTCATTTTATTTGTATTATCATGTTATGAAAAATTCTTATATATTAAATAAAAATAGTATATTATTTTATATTCAATTTATATTTTTGTAAATTTAATTCGGTGTAACATTATAATTTTGGCCGCGGGCATGTTGATGAAGATTGCATCGAAGAGATGATCAAATCCAAATGATTTAGTATAGATTTTATTATTTTAAAAAATATTGTGCTTTTGATATAAAAAAATAATTAATTCTCTAGAATCGTAATAATTTGTCAATGAAATATCATATTTAAAGAGGATTTATAAAAATTATTTTTTATATATTTATTAAAAATTTCATATAATCTACATTAGTATATTTTCGCGAATTTTTTAATCGTGAAGTTCTTCGATAGTATTATAATTATTTCGCGCTTAAAACGCTCATCCTACGTCAATGTTTATCGTCGGTGGTCAGCAGGGGATACGGAGCATTTAGAGAGATCTATATTTGATCACTTTCGACGTCAACTAGATGCCATCTCGTCCGGCTAATGCGTCCATCCTTCGGCGCTCGTCAAACATCCTACACCGCATCTATATCGAGAGTTCAGTTCCAGACGAGCAAGTGGCGTCGACTGACTCTGATTACATCGATGATCCTTTGAAACCACTAAAACGCTTTTTGGTTCCTCTACCTGTCTTAGCTTAGCTTAGCGATGGGCGAATATTAAGAAGAATTTTCCCACTTATTACCGTAATAAAAATAAAATATTAAAAATACCGAATTAAAAATAATATATTTTACGACATCATCGATATTCTTTCGATTATGTCCATTATTATATTAAATGACTGGAGAGATTTTCCCTCACGAAAGTGAACTCGTAATTTTCTGAGTGCACCTTGAATCGGTGCCAGCTCGTACCTGTCTCTTCACCCCCAGTCGCTGCAAACAATATGCTACCGTGGCTCGTGCGGTTTCAAGTGACGATCTTTCGTTTCAGAAAAGGCGTTACACCGTGTCTTCGTAAAGTTAATTATCGTATATTTTTTTATGGCGCTATCTTTATAAGATTTTCTAAGATCTTATATAGTCATGTATTTTCTCTATATCTATAATCTCTTCTGATCGACTTTTTATTTGCAATACATCGACGTAATATTAGGAGCACAATTATTATAAAATATATCGAAACATCGTAACCAAATATATTTGCTAAATATAAAATAAAAAAATAATCAAGAGTTATAATTAGTGACAATTATAGTTCTATATTCAAAATCTTTAAAAATCTTTTATTATTATATATAATGATTCTAGAAGGATAGAAATCATGTGTATATTTCACCACAAATGCTGTTAATCATGATTGATTTCTCGAGCAGTCAGTGCGAGGGAAGATATCTCTGTTTACCTTTATATTAAGATAACACTATTCGGCCATGTAATTCAATACTTGCTCTTCGTATCGTACTAAAGAGGGCGAATATATATTACGAAAAAATGGATATGGCACGAGGGGATGCAAAGATTAACTAGGAAATATCGCTGTAACGATAATTCGTGCAAAATTTAATTAATAATAATACTCGAAGTGAGCAATTTTGATTTAACGGAGATGATTTCGATAGCAGTTTCCGAACCCGAAAGCGGTCTGTGGTCTGGCCGCACGCGCTCGCCGCTTTTATTAACGCGATCTTCTCGAAAAATCTCGACTCTGAAATAACAAATCTGTTACCTTTGTGTGATTTTCTTTATTATTATGTGTTGTTATAAGGAAATGACAAAGCGATTCGTCTCACACAGATTTGTTTGTCGAAGCACGCATGTTGACTCGGGTTAATGTGCCTCAAGATCACCTCGAATTAATTTTCGTGTTGCGAGATATAATATTGATTATAAGGACTTTTATATATATATAGCGGCGGTGGAAATTATCGCGATTTTGCTGCGCTTCTAATTGTTTCAAACAATCGCTGTCTGCTATACGTAAAATAAATTCGTATAAATTCAATTTATTAAATAAGAAATATTGCCATTCTACGTGCAAAATATATTGCATAATGTAGATATAGTGGAAGCGAAATGGTTAATGATAAGAATTATTGGTATCCTGTATATAATACTTAGCGCTATATCTGTCATCAATAAATCAATCGCGAACATTTATTCGGAAATAGTTAGCAATCGTAACCTTGATCTAAAACAGTTTTTAAGGTAATCCACGGGGATCCTTGCTTGCATGCTCTCGAGACAGGGGAACAGAGTGTGGCCAGAGATTGAACAAGTGCAAGAAGTAATCGGTACTCGTGACGTCTGCCGAGTCGAGTGGCACTTATGCTACTAAAATTACATTCAATTATGTTATCTGCGCTCGGGTTAAACTTTAAAAACCCTTGAAGGAGCTCGCCTGTTACGCGCGTATCTGCTTAAATGACCTCTTAAGCCCGCATCCTCGTGCCCGACATAAAATAATCCGGCAGGTCACCATCTTCCAGAATTTTAAAGATATTGTTTTCTCTCTCGCATAAGATATTGAAGCATAATTCATCTACTTTTCGAAGAAATTTTCCTTTAACCTTATTTTTCTCATTTTTTCATTATTAATAATTGATCATTGTGATTCACAGTCTTATACAATATCCTTTAACAACATTTATCTTTATTATACATATTAGCATTCTGAATAATATAATAATAATAATATTTTGAAGAAAGTGATATATAGTCACATACATATGCATAATAAAGTTGGCTATTAAATTGTTACATTTTTTATCCAAATTATTATTCTATTTAATTTAATATAAAATTGTTAAATTGATATACAAAAAGAAAATCTTGATACTACTTTGATATTATTTTCAATAATAGAATATTCATAATACGCTTTTTGTTGCGCTATCGCGATAAAATTAATTCACGCGAACAATATCACGTACCTAAATACTTGTTTTTACTCATGTCCAACGCTTCGTCCTGCTGTCTGTGAGAAGTCTCCATCGGTTCCTTAACAGGCTGATACGCCGTCAGATTTTCCAGAGTCTCGAGATGATGCTTGAAAGTTCCCTGGGTTAAGTGCGGGATGTTTCCAAAATTTGATAAATTTGCTTCCGCCAGATTCCTTCTCAGGATATCCAGCTCGTGCGCCATATTCAGCTCCGGGGTGGGCAATCTCGGATAATGAATCACCTGATCATGATCGTAGTTGCCGTCGAGCTGCTCGTTCTCTGCTACGCGCTCGTAATCCCGATTGTGTCTTCTCATCGGTGCGGAAACCACGGCCTGGATTTTCTCCAAGTCGCATCTTCTCGAGTCCGCGCAGGAGGTTCTCCGGCTTAGGATGTCGGCGATGCTGAAGGGAGTCGGTTGAGAAAGTTTCGGCGAGGCTTCGCTGCGCTTATCGTCCTCCATCAGTCCGTATTTCGCTACTACGAGCTTTCTCGCGGATCTTGCAATGATTACGATGAAAACTGTCTAAAAAATGATTTTTCTCTACACTCTCTCTAATCGTCTCTCTTTTAAATTTTTTCAATCTTTTTCTTCATAATTACGATCATCGTCGATTGTGTGCACACATGAGAAAGCTCGTCGCGTCACATGATACGAATGGTCACCAAATTCCACTATCTTGCATTTTCTTTTTTAATTTTTGTGGTTCTTTTTCACCTTTTACGAATTTATTGAAGTTAAAAGATTATACACCGAATTTTCTCAATCACTCAACTGTCACTCTCGCTCGTTACCAGCGTCGCCGACACGTCGGAGCGGAGAATCGACCGACGAATGCTAGATGTCTTCCGCGTTCACATAATCTCTGGGGGCTCTCGAGCAGCCAGAGGATCGCTGGTAGGCCGACTGGCGTTATTAATTGTTATTCCCAAGTGCTCGACCCTTTCGATTCGAGTGTGCTTGGGTCAAGTGTGCTTGTCGCCCGCGGAGACTTATTTTTCGAATTACCACACTCAACCCGCGACTCTCCCTTCCTCCCTCGTAAAGAGCCTCCCTCTTTTGCTCCAACAACCCCCACCTAAGAGACGCTTGCTCTTCTTTGCCTTTCTCTTTCTCTCTTCCCGTTTCTCTTTCTATTTCATGAAAGTCTCTCTAGTTTCACATAGATGATCTCGAAACGGTTTTATCTCCCGAGAGGCGAAGTTCAGCGTTTATCAAATTCTGACTATGTTCTCATCAGCTATCGATCTCTCGCTACGTATTGAAGAGATGATCCACCTCTCCTCTCATTAACGAGCTCGTCGGTGCTTCTCGTTGCCCACCCTCTCGGTCCCGACTCTCCCGAGCTTGCACACGCGAGTTCTGAGATAGGTGGAGCTTTAGATGTTCTACGTACGACCGGATGCGATGCTTCCGTTACGACGCAAGCCTCGCCCTACAACCAATCCGTCGCTTTTCCCTCGACTCTGCTTTTCCGCAATGGCCAATCCAGACGGAGGCGCGAACCGGGAAATATTCCGCGACGGAGTGGGATTGCGGGAGATTTTTAGATCATCGTAGTCGTCGCGACCCCGCCGGAACTGTACGGGGGCACTTTAGAGATTTTCTCGTTTTGTCATCCGTGTCAGCGAGAAATGATAAAAGGCTCCTTAAGTTCTTGCGACGAAGCAATCACTCACGATCGTCATATACGACGATAGTTTCATAATTGATGTGTGCTTTACGCAATCGAGATTACTTATATTAATATTTGATTAAAATGTGCTTTAACATATTAAAAAAATAGTTATCTGGTTCAATGAGATTAAAATTTATTAAACTTTAAAATATTTTCTTTACAGCAAAATAAAATTGTTAGGTTTGTACTTAATCAATCCCACATACTTAATCAATATATTATAATATAGTTATTATAACTATTTTTTTATTACTCGTCTTTTATATTATTTTATTCTTCTTTAGTTATTATGATATATATTAACCATATTTTTTATTGATTCATTTTTCATATATTCATTCTTTTTGAAAAAGATTAATATTAAGACATTAATCGTGACTGCGTGACCACAACGTATATTTAATCCTTATCTAGATTTGATTTATGCAAGAACAATATTTTAATTTTCCTTCAAATATATATTAATATATATTCAATCATATATAGTTAAAAAAATTTCTTTTAAAATATACAAACATTTCAAACATTTAATATAAAGTCTATAAAAAATTCATTTATTATAATATATTGATATATACACATTAAGATATTTTAACACACGTTAAAGATAACATCTGAATAAAAATCCGATTCTTTACTAGATAAATTTACAAGGGATGCCATAAAAATGTAACGTTTTGGTATAACATCAAAGTTTTCTTCTCGTTAAGTATGATAGGAATTACGATTCGAGAGACTAAGTCGCTGATGGATAAAAAGCAATCGAAGTCGTACCAGTTGAATCGCAGCTAATGCTTTCAAAAAGTTACTTCGCGCTCTCTCCATTTCTCCTTCTTTCTCTGTACATAGGTACAAGCGGAGTAATATAGGTACCTACGTACTCTCGTTTCTACGTTCTCTCGTTTCTACGTTCTCTCGTCTCGATACGATACGAGAGAAACTGCGCGGTGCATATATAGGGTGTGCTTTACATAACAATCGTCGCTAAAGACTCGCGGCATTGTCCGCCACGTGCTAGCACCCGAGTTCCTATGGCGGTTTAATTAAGTGTGAACCGCAGGAACGTGGACTACGCTTGACTTGACCCGATGATGACCTCGCGCGCTCGAGATATCGATGGGAAAATACTTTCGCCTCCCACCTTGTTGGGCGAGATGTGTTATTCGTATTTGGTTGTCGAAAAGATGCATGTCGATTGTAGATTCTATAATTACAAAAATAATTGAAGATGTTAATAAGTACAAAAATTATAGCACATTTTTATGCAAATAAATTTCTTTTATTGATAAATTTTTATTTCAATCATGCAAATTGAAAAACAGATAATTAAATTCAATAACATTAATAATAAAAGAATGTTTATTGCAATGTCTATGACGTTTGATCATAATTGATTGTAATGATCAAACGATCTAAGAATATTTTTTCTATATTTTTTAAATAAATAATAGAATATTTAAACAAAAATTGACTGCTGCTCCCTCAGATATATATTTGTAATTATCTGAAATATTACTTAATTATTTACATTCATTTTTATTTATATAATTATTTTGCAGTTAGTTTTGTTTAATTATATCACAATAAAAAAAAATCTATTGCTACTAGAAATAGGCAATAAGCAACTAAACATTGCAGATGACATACAAGTTACATATATATTAATAATTACCTGTCAGTAAACAATTTTTTTAAATAAAAGACAGATTATATGCATAAAGTACTACTTATGCCTTGAGCATCCGGATCGGAAATTGGAAAAACGACGTCCGCCATTTGCTCGTTACACTCCGTTATACGTAGACGATCTCAAGCCAATCTTAAGTCTACATACCAAGACCTCTTTTTCTCGATCCGATCTAATCAATAATAAATTATAGGGGGATGTGATGGTACGTCTCTCCCCTAAAGCTAAGGCTCTGACCCTCCCGCTCAATTGGTTGCAATTCTTAAAGACCTTAATTGGCGCGGAAAATTATACCTTATTTCAGTTACCCCCGAATAAGACCAGCGTTCGCCCTCCGCGTCGTCCTTTGCTCAGCCTCGCTATACTTTGTTGCCTCTCGTTTTCTCCTTCTTCGCTCGAATTTCTGCCACTCGGGTATTTTTTCTTTTCTGCTGTGAGCAATCGCTCGAAATATCGAGATTGCGTGATGACGAACATCTAGAGCGGGTAAGACTTTTATCGAGAAACATGTCATGAGTTACTGAATTACGTCAACCGATTAAGGGCCAAAGTGTTAGTCATTTATGAAACGATTCTGTCAGTAAACGCACATCTCGGCAGCATCCATCCGCCGACTTCAGCAGTTGTCATTCTCGCGACAAGTCAGTCCCGTTGTGCAAAAAGTCACCGGCCTCGACGTTCGTCTCGAAGCCTCGCGGCTACCCTTTTAACAAGCTCGTCGTCGCCTGTCGCGCGAAGAGAGCGCCCGGAGATGTCCCATAAAATCAAATAGTTCCGTACGAGGCTTCTTCCGAGGCCCGATTTAACCGACAGTCAATAAAGACTTGTGAGCCAGCGCCGGCCGAGCAGCTCGTTCAACGACCGTATCGAAACGAAAGCGAAACGTTAACGTAAACTGAAAAACAATCGTCGGCCACGGCGGCTGTCACTCCAACGAGGAGTTGGCATCCGCGTGGCGAGTCATCTGTTCCCTACGCGGCCGCGGTCGTTTATTTTTCCAGAATGCCCGCTAAAACACCATCGTTTTGCCCGGGTCCTCCGAGTAATTTCGACTATTTATAACGGTCCACCTAGGACGAGCTATCAAGGCGCTTTTTACGGTGAAGGTGCTAACGCGAAGCTCGATGAGTAATGCTTATTATGAGGTAATCTTAATTTGTCGTGCAAGCGCGAAGAGGCTATTTATTTATCTTATATATTTTAACATTGAACCGTAATAATTAAAAAATTGACAATAATAGTACATTTTGAAAAAACGTACTTATTATTTATTAAATTTTTTCTAAAGCTGCGCAATCACTTTTTCTGCAAAAACCGCAGATACCTCTTGTCAAATTTTTCTGTATTTTGTTACTTGATGCCATTAATATATAATTATACAAATCTGCATATTTTCAAAAATTAAGTAATTTAAAAATAACGTACTTTGAACTTTAAATTCGATATTTGTCATTTGTGTATTCAGTTAATTTGTATATCTTTATAGTTTTCATTATTATAGAACTTGAATTAAAATTTCGAATACATAAAACACAAAGACATTATGCAAATATATTTTAGATATTTAGATGATCACGTAGAGTGGTAACGTGATCATTAATAGAAGGAATTTTAAAGCTTAACATAATTTCACAATTTTTATTACAACGAAATCTTATATGTATAGGATCTTTGAATAATTAAACGCAATTCACATATCAAAAAAAAAAATGTTGGAAGCCAGAAAAAGTAATAATTGGATTTCAATTATTATTAACGCATTAAAAATATTATTTTATTCCCGATATCGTATATTAATATTAGAAATTAATTATATTATTCGTTTGTATACATCGGCAAATTTATATGATTAAATTTTGTGCTTTTTTTTAAATTATTAAAGTATCAGATAATCACGATTAATCAGATACTCTGTTAATTCTAATTAATATACGATAGTTAAATATACGACGATAATAGCGATCCAAGAAGTTCAAGAAGACACGTAGGAAAACAAGAAGGAGAGAGAATCGTGCGAGAGATACGGGAAGGGTGATAGGAGAGAGAGAAAGGAGGAAGAAAGGAGAGAGGAAGAGTGAATGAGCGGGAGTGGCGGCGGCGCAGCGTACACTAAGCACTAATATTACGTCTCTGGACTGACAGACGCGCGGACTTTAAAACCCAAGACTAACAAACAGTTAGCAGTCATCCGGTCTTCTTGTTTTTATATTCTTACGCGCGCGCGTTCACGCACACGGCCGCCCATATCGCGCGCCAGCGCTCGCGCAAGTAAGCTTCTTCTTCTCCCCCGTGTCTTACTGGTTACTTTCGCGTCGTCAAACGATCGAAATTTCCTGCTCGTCTTCGCCGAAAGCAAGCACGAGATTTCCTGTCGACGGAGGGAGATTCGAGAAGTCGAGCCCTCCTCAAAGTGAGAGCAATTTTTATCGCTGCAAAAATTGTCCCTCTTAGGTATCATTCAAAGGATTGATTATATTGCAAAATGTATATTTACATATAAATGTATATGTACATACTTATGTGTGCGATAGCCTTTATTATAGTTTGTCACTATTATCTATCTGATAAGATTATATATGCAGATAAACTAAAAATTCAATAAATAATAAATAATTCAATCTTTTAATTTAAAACATAAAATTAAATTAAATTTCGAGAGGAATAAAAGAAAGTGCAATAATATTATAACAATGTAATAAACTGCTTATAATAAAAGCAAATCCTTTTACTAAGAGTCGGAGTTATGTTTGTGGAGAATCTTTTATTTATTTTGACTCTGATATATTTTACACAT